ATGTGTGCGTGTGTCCTTGCCTAGGTAGACTGACTTGTATTAGCTGGGCATCTCCCGCTGTTGTGTGCACACTTGGGTGTGGTTGGCTAAGTGGAGGCCTACAGCAGCTTCGGGCAGGCGGGCTTGTGGGTGGTGGTGCACTGTGGGCCCCGCAACCCTGTTTGTGCCACCTCGCCCGGCCCCGCCCTAGGCTAGGCACAAGGCTGCTGGTTTTTTTCCGCTACAGGGCCCTGGGCAGGCTTCCAGGGGCCACGCCCAGCACTGGGTGTGAGAAGAATGGGGCTGGGGTGGGGCTGTGGTGTGGGAGTGAAAGGATTGAACGGGGCTGTGGAGCAAGCCTCTTTGCTGAGCCACTGCTGAGGGAGCCCCAGGGAGCTGGGCCTGAATGGCCAGAGGCAGTGCAGTGGGCCCTTCACCTGTGTGCTGCATGAAGCCTGCGTTTCCTGCCCCAAATGCCCACCCCCACCCCCACCTCCACCTCCACCTCCACGTGCCCGAAGCAACCTTCCTGGGCTCCCCACACTGCGGGAGCAGAGTCTCACCAAGGGGCCTTTGGAAAACGGGGCGTAGACATAGAACTGGGGCTGAGGGTGGAGATGGGAGGGTCTCTGTGACCTGTGCCCCCAGATCCTAACTGCTGCCATGGCGAAACCCCTGGAGAATGCCCTGGATGTGATGGTGACCACCTTCCACAAGTACTCGGGCAAGGAAGGGGACAAGTTCAAGCTCAACAAGTCGGAGCTAAAGGAGTTGCTGACCCGGGAGCTCCCCAGCTTCCTGGGGGTGAGTGGGTACTGCCTGAGAGGACTCCCCCCAGAGGGGTCTCCACCGAGCAAGGACAGAGCCTTGGAAGGCATATGCATCTTTTGTAGACCATGAGCTATGGGTGGCTCTACCACTGGAATGGGGAAGTGGGAGACTGAACAGAGGGCTTCATCAGATGCCTGAGTACAAACATAGTGCACACCCCCTTCACTTCCTGGCCCCCGGCAGGAGCAGGCTGAGAACGAACAGGGAAGTGATGGGCCAGACACTCCGCACCTGATCCATAACCTAACTGGAGGGAAACCTGAAGCCCCAAGAGGTTAGATAATGTCCCAAGGTAGTCAGATGCACCCCACCGAGGTGGGCACAGTGGCTGTCGGGGTCTTGCTTTCACTCCAGCACAGTCCTGCAGTTATGGGGACTCCTAGCCCCGCAGACCCGGCCCCCAGGATGACGGCTTCCATTTGTAACAGACCACACAGTGTCTGTATTGTTGTCTGGCCAGCACCTAACTGGATTCTTTAACTTTAAAAAAATTATTATTGTAGTGAAAGTACGCACAGCGAAACATAGCCAATTCGTCAATTTCTACATGCATAATTCAGTGACTTTGATGACGTTCAAGTTGTGCTACCTTTGCCAACTGGTTCCACCGCCATTAATGCACTCAGAGCCCCCTAAACCGAACTGGATTCTTAACAAGATCATGGGAGAAGCTGGTGTGGCCCCATATCGACAGCACCCAAGTATTGAGCAAATGCTTTGTCCTTCAAGAGACGCCCTTCTGCTGGAGTTTAGCTTTGAGAACTGGATTTTCAAAGGCGGGGCTTCCGAAAGGAGTGGGTACGTAAGCCTCCAGGGAGTCCTGGTGGCAAAATGGGCTACGTGTTGGGCTGCTGACTCCAAGGTCAGCAGTTCAAAACCACCAGTTGCTCCTCGGGAGAAAGATGAGGCTTTCTACTCCCCTAAAGAGTTACAGTCTCTGAAACCCACAGTGGGGGGCAGTTTTACCCTGAGCTCTGGGGTGACTGAGTCAGAATTCACTCAATGGTGGTCAGAGAGACCTAAGCCTCCGGAGCTTTGAGCCAGGGGTGGGACCTGGGTCTAGTCTTGGCTCCACCACCTTGCTGCAGTTAGAAAACCTGCTGCTGCCGCTTCTTCTTCCAGAAAAGAACAGACGAAGCTGCTTTCCAGAAGCTGATGAGCAACTTGGACAACAACAAGGA